TCTAGAACATAACGGAGACCGAATCTTCCGCTAGAACATAACGGAGACCGAATCTTCCGCTAGAACATAACGGAGACCGAATCTTCCGCTAGAACGTAACATAGAGAGATTACAATTCACGGTTCTATAATTTTTAGCCTTCGTGCATGTCGTGAGTGGTGGAGAGGCACGTCCGTAATCGATAACTGTCAGAGTGTGTTGCGTGCTCCTCTCTCTTCCTGGATTCTTGGTATGTTGGTATGATAAGTGTGCACATTCTAGGATCTAATGTTGATCGAATCGAATAGGATCTAATGTCGATCGAATCGAATCAAATGGAAGATGGACTGATTGCCTGTTCGTGTCTGTTGTCATTTGAACTGATTGTATTGAAAGAAAGCGCGGTCTTGTTTGGACAGTAGTCATGGTAGTTGTTTTTGTTCCTTGATACGGTACATACATATTTGCTTGTTTTGACGTAGTCCTCATGGTGGTGTTCCTGTGTCTTGGTATGGTACCTAAGAAGAAATCAATTTCGCTTTTGCGCTCTGACAACTTTGTGACAATATATATGCTTGTTGTTTTTGCTTTGGCTTTGTGCAGGATGTAGTCATTGTGGCGACCAGAAGGATCATGAGGCCGCCGAAGAGGGGTATCTCGGTTGCGAGGCCGAGGAACAGAACCTTGACTGCAGTCCATGAGGCGATCTTGGACGACCTTGTCTACCCTACGGAGATTGTCGGCAAGCGTATCCGATTCCGTCTTGATGGGTCAAAGATCATGAAGGTACGCAGAAAAGTGAAGAGTGCATCAGCTGAGTCGTGGTACTAATTCGAATATGAACGAGGAATTGTTAATAGTAATACCCATCATCCATGAATGACGCAGTGGTAAACCCGTGTATCCCCTGAAATTGTAAAGAAGAACATGTCAAAAAAAAAAGAACTGGATTTTTTAAAGATTACATCACGTTGAAAAAAAAAGATTGGATTTTCGCTGTGAATAGGTGATTTAATTCAACTTTTAGCACTGTAAGGGGTTGGTGTAGAAAAAAAGGAGAAAGTGCTGCCTCCGGAAATCCTGGTCTTGATTGAAAACAAGATTATAATCGATGAGGATGTGGACGTCTCTCATGCTGGGGTGGGCTGGATGTCACAACCAGTCCTGAACACGTAATGTTCAGAATCGAGTATATATACCTTGTTGACGTTAGTCCTCGATATCGACCACCAAATGCCTCTGACGTTTGAGTCCTTGCAGCGACTGTGCTGTGGTGGGCTGAATGTCACAACCAGCGTGACTTCAGTTTTGAACGCCGGGTCACAGTTTCGGTGGTAAAGGTATCTGGCTAGTATAGTCGAGGTCAGCGGTTGGATTCCGTCTGTCTGTGGAACGATCAGGGATACATATACAAACGTATAGACATGTATAGCATGAACGGGTGGAGGGTTTATACTATCACATGGAGTTTAGATGGACTTCATGTAATGTGCTTTTTATATTTTCTCGGTATTGTGTTTGTGTAAAGACTCTTTGAGGTGGATTGTTGGATATGATGACAGTTATT